TAACTTCACGGTCGTATACGGAAGTAATAATTTGATTTTACGATAATAAGTTTACTTTCGATGGCTATCTCGAATAACAAAGTCCTGAAAAAATTTCAATCAATCTTGTACGTCGGAACACGTGTGTGTTGCAGCAACTATCTATTTCTATTTTATCTGTTTTAAGAATCTTAACGATAACATTTTCAATATACTTGAAGAGATAAGGTTGTTATTATATATGTTACTATATACGCCGCTAATTTATAAAACTGAACATGTTATGCTGTTGTTACGATTAATTAAATTATCGACTGATTAAATTTATTTATTAAATTTATTTTTCATATTAAATAACATCCATTGCCGCTCCGAGTCTGCAGTCTCCCTGGTTTGTATGATTTAGGTTAGTAAAACAGTCCAAACAAGAAAATAAAAAAAGATTTTCTATAAAATAATGTTGTGATTATAGTCTATCGGAATAGAATTTTTATTTTCGCTATAATTTTGTTTTCTTTCTTGTAAAATAAAACAGTAGCGAAATTTAACAAGAGATTTCAATTTATTCTTTAAATTGACTAAAAGAATTTAATTGTTTGAAAATAAAAATTCCGGTCTGACAGGCTATAACTACAATACTATTTTAAAAATCTTTTTTCTTTTTCATCGGATTATTATATAAACGTAAATTGTGCAAACCAGAGAGACCCGCAAGAGCTCGACATGGCAGTGGATGCTATGACGTTATTTAATTATTTAAAAATAATAAAACCATTTTTCTTTAAATGCAATTATTACTTAATTACATGCATAAAATCCATCCATATTCATTAGTTTTCCTTAAATAAATTCCCGAATATTGTTTCTCTCTTTTTGTCCTAAAACGTAATTTGTCCGCTTCAACAAGCCCGAGTCAAACGACCCGGTGTTTCAATTCAATTCGGAGCACCCAAAGAGGAATTCATCGTGCATTGCCGGGGCTTTCTCAAGGAAGCTAATAACAATTGTTCGATGCGAATGGGACAGAACCGTACCGGTGCATCGCGCGCTGCGCTATCCTAGATGAGGGAAGAGAGAGAGAAAGAAATGGAGGCAGTTGCCTGCGAGGAAGATGACGGAGGTAGAGAAAAAGCGTGAGAAAAGGGGAGAGGTGGGAGGATAGCGCGGAGGCGGCGATGGTGAACGATGAAGAAAGAGGGAAGGAGGGAAAGAAGTGAAGACAGTGGGAAACAGAAGAAGAGAGAGTACTGTCTAGAGAGTATAGTCGAAAGAGGGCATTGCGTCCGGCGCAGTGACCTACTATCTTCGGTTCGCCGGCTCGGCTATGTAGTCAGCCGGTGTGGTTAGAGTATGTAGACTGTACACACAGAAAGGTGCGCACACAGAGGTGAGCGAGGCACGTGTAGATGTGCGGAGACGCACCGGCCGGCCGCGTATTTCCTCCTACTTTATATCTCCTGTCGCGCCGATGACTGTATCGGCATTATTATATCGGCATGAGAAGCGCTATTGGGCTGTTGCGTGAGAGGACGGGAGGGGGGGGGGAGGAGGAGACGCGTAATAAATTATAATAACGAGTCCAGCCGGCGCTCTCTACGCACACGACTCTGTTCACTCTTCTCTTTTACTCGTTTCTTCAATAAATCTGAAAATACTGGAAGCTATTGCAAATTGGACTACGACAGCGACTATACAGGCGAGCTAGTTTCGCGCGCGCGACTGGCCATTCCAACCTCTCGCCGTGTTTTCTCTCATCAATTATTAAGAGAGCTAATCCACGCTGCGCTGAACGCTTCTTTTCTTTATGTTGTCTTGTTGCCCGCTATGTAGCCGGAAACAACGTAAATAATGCAAGTATAAGAGAGAAGATTTGATCTCTACAGTGTAGTCACAAAGTAAGAAGAAAAATGCAGGTTTTCTCTGTGTGTGTGTGTGTGTGTGTTTTGAACTTTTACAAAACTAAACGTACGTGAGAGTTACGCGCGAAACTTTGATGTTGCGTCAACTATTTTCGTGTCCATTAATCATTTCTGCAGAAATCGGTACTGACAAAAACTGTCACGATTAATCAAACTATAAAAGCCAGGCTACATAGTGCTCGCCATGCTCGATTTTTAATTCAAGAACAACGTGGTGTGTCAATGGAACTTAAACATCAAAGCCACGGAACCCCATTAGCCTTTACACGCAGAGAAAATTATAGTTTTTTTTCTTCATAGAAATATTTTTTAATTTTGCTACATTCCTGAGTAGTCCAGAAATTAAGTAGTCAATAAGATTTATCTGGCCAAAGAATATAATAAATTTCAAACAAGGACTCTAAAAGTATGGATTTGCGATCAATAAAATGTAAATTTCTTGACTTTAGTTCCATCAAGTGTAATTTGATTTTATTATACTGTAGCATCCTCTATAGGCTCTCAAAAGTCTTTAACTTGTTAATTGATTTAGTAAATTAGGAACATAGCAACACTTTTAATAGCATATTTCAGTTCCTAGAATATAAATATAAAATGAAAGTAAAATAAATTACAGCAGAGTATCAATCACTCAATTACACAATTCTACAGCAACATTTACTATAAAATTCTCTCCGTGCATTAGAAAGATCACTAAAGATACGCGAAGAAAGTACGAAATGCTAATTTGATTGTGCAAGAGAATTTTATTCGAAATTTTAATCCTACTTTCGCTCTCAATATGCCATTTAACTACTTTGATATTTTGAAGCCTATATTAACTTCTTTTGACTCTATTCAATCTATTAACTTTGCCTAGAGATTCCCTTTAGAATCAAGTAGCATTTTATGCGTTTTCTAACATTTAGAGATGCTAAGTAGGATTTTAGTTTACACGTGCATTAAACATACACTGACCCTTCAGAATACACACATGCTAGAAAGTTCAGATTGAAAGTAGAGCTGAAATTTCGACTCAGGAAGATACCAGAGACGAAATTTGGATCCTACTTTCGGCCTCAACATTCCATTTAACGCCTACTTTGACGCTTTGAAGCCTATATCAACCTCTCTTGATTCTGTTTAACCTACTAACTTTACCTAGAGATCCTGTTTATAACTCACAAGTGGCATTTTGTGCGTTTTCTAACATTTAGAGGCGCTAAGTAGGACTTCAGTTTCCATATATATTACAAATACACTGATCCTACAGAATACACGGATGTTAGTTAATTTAGGTCGCAGGTAGAGCTAAAATTTCGGTCCAGGATTCTTGGCAAGATGAAAACTGCTCCCCGCTATCTTGTTCCTCTAACACATCTCAAGAAATGTCTCGAAGTTGAAAACGTAAGCGTCGAGTCGGTAATTGCACAACGTCGGTGGCTGCGCCGTCGTTGATGAAAATCTCCTCGGACCCGTCCGATTATTTCAATTCTCACGCGGAGCTGCGTGGACGAATACGGTCGTCGAACAATCATCATTCGTTAACAATACGTCCCCGTGAGCGAGTCCGCGTTTTACTGATTATCCGGTGCGGTGAAGCCGCTTCATTCAGACTTTTGCTTCGCCGAGCACCTTGCGCCGCGGCTATATATGTGGCACAGGCAGAGCCCGCGGCTACGGTGATTCCTCTTAAGCATTAACTTAACGTCGTGTTGATTCTCGGCCAGCAGCAGCACGTGCACGCGTAGCGGTCCCGGAGAAACGCCGCCGAGCATCAATGAAGTATCACTTTTTGCCGAGGTTCGGATGAATTTTTTAACGGTCACATCGGTTTTTAACGGTCGTCAAAACGCCGGTCTCCTTCCGCGGGAGTGTCTCAGAATCTCTCGGGATTGTCGATTCCGCGCGAATTAGCATTCCCAGCGCGGATATGATGTCGTTTAGCTCGGCGGAGCTGAGGCAAATCCGCGGATTCCCGTGGAATATTTGCGCAGCATGTCCAAATGGGGGAGTCTCGTGAAAAAGAACGACGCGTTCGAACGAGGCTCGGCGGAGAATTCAAGTTGCGCGCGAATGAGCGCGCAAATCCGAAGAAGAAGGTATCTACATCTGGCCTACGGTTATCCCTCTGAGATACTTGTCGAGCACACTCGGCGAGTGGACGTGGTCGACGATTATTTCAACACCACCAAGGAAGACTCACGGACCTTTGGTATCAGCGAGAGTCACATTGCGTTTTAACTCGAATAGACAGATTCAATCGATAGCGTGGTAATGGACGCTCGCCGATGTGACACGAGCTATGATTACACTCGTAGGTGTGCTGTGACTAATAATTTTGCTTCTGAACACACATAATCCACAAACGTCAATGTAATGCGAGATACAATGTACACACTACTAGAACAGGTGCGTAAATAGCTTCGCCCGCTTTACCGCGGCACCGGCATAACGGTCACCGTATTAACAACCTGTCTGTCACTTTAAAGGGGGAGAATACGCACTAACCGCGAGTAATAATCTTCGTCGTCCACCCGAGAATTATTGCACAGTGAAATTACAATGTCGATCGCCGCGGTATGCAGATTTACTACAAGGTGTTATGAACGGATGTATCGCGCGACGCAGGCTGGAATGCGTAATCGACCTCCGGCGGGATTAGAAAATTGGCGACGTGTCCGCGACGATGATCTATTTGATTTATTTGCGAGATTAATTCGCGAGACATCCCTCTTCTCCCTCCCCTCTCTCCCTCTCTCTCTCTCTCTCTCTCTCTCTCTGCTCTCTCATGCATTAGAATCGATTATGATGATACCGGCCGTCCAGTCGCGTCCAAATGGCGAAGGCATACAAAATTAATCACTAAAGATCTGAGAGTTCTCCTACATGTTCCTTTTATGTTATATTTTTCTATGTTTGTATGCACTTTTATGTTATGTTCTGCCCCCTATATATTGTGTTATGTCTTGCACCAGCCGAGATATCTGATGAGATCGACAAAGATCGCGTTAAACTCACACCCGACATAATCTATTGGTTACTGATCGTTAATATGCATAGCTAGGCGGTCTGGTCGTGCGATTAATTTTCGGGAAAGCAGTCTCGTCGTATTTTACTCACAGCCAATAGTAAGGGCAGCGATAAGATAAAGGCCGTCTTCCGTATATTCCGCCACGTTCTCTCCATCATGTGCGTGTCCTCTCTGCAATGAAAAGAAAACTCTAAAAAATTGATAGATGCACTGTCGGGAGTCTCGCGTAATCCGTCACAGTCTAGAGAGAAAAAGTTTGTTCGGCTCGGCCGGTGAGATTAATTCATGCGATTTGCAACGATTTGACGCGACTTCGACGTTTTTTACACGATAAAAAACGAAAATGGACTTCTTCGTTTATTGAGGAATGGACGCGAGAATGTTCGTGTAACAATGTCAATGATGTGTATCGAATAATATTGGCCGGGTATAGTCGTGATAATTGAAGGAAATTATTAGCCAAGGTCCGAAGAGTGCAAGAGGAATGGCACGACCAAAGGATAATCGTCGGCTGCAATCGTCGCTAGCCGGACGCGCAAGTGGAATATCTACTTGTCAACACAGCAGCACGAAGAGCGTTACGCAACGAACATTTAACCCACATCTCAGAATGCGGAACTTGCGACCAGGAACGCGTACAAGATCGGCTACGTCCTTAAACGTGGAAATCGGTACTCACGCGAGACACCGCACGACATCACCACTCCGGTCTGTGCCTGTGCGATCTTGCGCGGCTCCTCGGACAATTAAAAAGGAAATCACATTGTTGCACGATACGATCGTATGCATTTCGGTGGTAGGAGAGAAGGGAAGGGGGGAGGGAGGGAAGGACTTGCGATATTATCACAGTCCAAACGGTAGTCCAAAGAAGATTGATTCGATTACAGATCCAAATTTAAACTCACAGATACACACGTGGCAAAGGTTCAGTTGGACTAGCCAATTTCTAATGAAGTGTAAACGATTCGAAAATTCCGACTGAAATTACTAGAATTACCTGTCCGAGTTAACCAGAAATGCCGGTAATTTGAACTGAATTCTGCTGACCTCAGCCGGAATTTCTGAATTTATCGTTGCCGTTGTATGTGCTTTTTCGAAGAATTTTCCGAACTGTTGCGGCAAGTAAAGTCGAACAAGTGTACATCGCTGCTCTCTAACTTGTCAGTGTGCACCAGTTGAGGAAGTTCTTCGAAGAAGAACAGACCTCATGTTTCACCAGAGATTGGTCGATCCAACCGAACTTGTTTTCCGTGCGCGGTGACTCGCAATCGCCGACGCTGACAATCGACTCGACAGGTGCAAGGGTGCGCTCGTGCGCGAGCGGAAGCGCGATTCCGGGCCGTTTCTCGAGGAGGGAGCGCGACCCGCGTCCCCGAAAATGCAGTTTCCGCCGTTGGGAAGGGAAGGACAATTAATCGATGCACCTCGTTACGAAATCCTCCTGTTCCTGGGAGCCTCGTTCCGAAAAAACGCTCCGTCACCTGAACGATCCTCCCGCGGCAGCCAACCTGCCCTCACCCCCTTAACGACCCCACGAGTGCACCGACCGCGACGGCAAGACCTCCTCGACACGCGTCAGTTGGTCCTCATCGGGCCCGTTGCGTGCTCTTTCCCGTTTCTTCCGTTTCCCCCGTTCGACTTTCTTCCGTCTCTCTTTCTCCCTTTTTTCGTTTATCGTCGTGCTCTCGTGTCCGACCGCGAGGATTCGACGGGCCCAGAGGTGGTTTTCTTGGCCGACGGGGACCGACTGAAGGTGCGAGCCACGCTCGTCTCGGCCACGAGCCACGTCCCAGTGACCTACTGAAGATCGCGATCGCACTCGTCCATCGTCCCTCTCGCCCTCCCTCTTACGCACGACGTCAGGCCCAAACAGGCCCACCATCGACGGCACTCTGCCCCCACCGCGCGCCGGTCTTTCTCTCTCTTTCTTCCCAGCGGGACCTTTCAGCACAGGTGAAAGACACGCGCAGGGCGAGATATCCCGTCGCACATCGCGCTAATGGAGTTCCTTTCGGAAAATCTAGAATGCTCCGATAAGTCCTCCAGCCGGCGGGCCTCTATGGCCGAGAAGAAGCTGGAAGTCGCGGCAGTGGAGAATTCACTTTGCATCGCAATAAGGAAAGCGGTTAGAGGCGGCCGGGTAACGAGAAGATTAATCAACGAGCAACAGGAATGTTGTAAACGTCGAAACTGAAGCTAACGAGTTGCTTCCTCGGATATTAAACGATCTTTGCTCGGCGCGAGGGCGAAGTTGCCTCCGCTGTATTGCAATATAACTCTCGGAATCTTGAGTCTCAGCTCGGAATTATGCATGTAAGTCGGACACGTTTTGCTTGATCACGATTGTCTTACTTGACATATACCGTGATATACTTGCGATGTTCCAAACAGAAACTCATCTGAACGCGAAGAAATTTTCAATGAGAGAATCGAAGCTAAATGAAACGTCGCAAGAATAAAATGTGGCGCGATTTATACTGCATTGTGTAACTTTGTGTAACAATGTGTAAGATTTGTATTTTAATTCGGTGGACATACATTGTTCCGGAAGGAAATGCGTTGAAATTTAAACAGTGCGACAATTTACTTGTAAAAAGTTATAATACTGAAACAATTTCCTAAAATATTAAATTGTATAATAAATAATGTCGAATTTCTTAGATAAAATGGAATGCTTGAAATTTGACGTCATTATAATTTTGTGAAGCAATATATGTGTTATTTGGATTTACGATCCTTTGCCATTTTTCGCCTGCATTATTTTCACGAAAATATGACGAAATAAAAATATAACTGTTTTATTTTATCAAAAATACGAAATGTTTTCTATTACATAACTCAAAATAATTTTACCGAAATGTTGGTCATTTTCTTGTTATGTACAAGCGGATGCAATGGTATCTACTTATTTGAGTACAGCAAGAGTGCACTCAAACGAGTAAAAATTAATCCTAATTTAACACGCCACTAGAGTAATTTTCGATTTCACCCGATTTTTAATTTTAGATTACCTGCAAACTATTGCAATAAGGACTTTCGATTCACGCGCTAAAAAAGTTATAGTTGATAGGTATATGAGGATTGAATTAGTTTTATTGCATTGTCATATAACAAAAAGGTAAAGTTGCTGTAGGATCATCATGGAGCCCAATTTTTGACAAATTAAAATATGTAATATATTTTTTTCGTAAAAGTTCAAATATTGAGCAAGAAAAAACTTAAATTCATTTTTAGAAAATTTTTATGCAAATTCACATTTTCATCGCGTTTCTCTTTATACTTGCAATGAAATGTAATACTCAAATGAATATCTACGATCATTTCTATACATAATTCTATTCTACAAAAAAAACTTGAAGGATATTTGCAATTTTTCATAGATTTCCATTGACACTTTTACGAATTTGAAATAAAAACGCGAACAAAAACGATCCGTATGTGCCGTATTGAAGTGTCCAAGTCTCATGTGTACCATGCGATGGTCAATATACCCATGTGTACTTTTTTCGAGCCAATAGTTCCTCTTCGGAACAATCGTAGTTCGGGAAAATTGTATTTCGGGATATATTCCCGATATTTGAATTGCCGGTATTATGACTTTTCTAGGAAATTGTACGGGTGCCCCAGTTTCCGAATTTCAAGAATTGATTTCTCGGGACAATGCGTATCCATCCATAATTCACTCCATCAGCGGAACATCGCTGTTCCAGAAGGTTACGCAAAAAAAATGTCACAGGGTCTGCGTCGCGAGACGAGGAGACCCCGAAATGTCTGATGCAAACGATAGTCGCAGCGTCAGCGCCGTCGAGTTTTGGCGGCCGCGGTAACACGGAAAATCCTCCTTCACGTCAATCAGTTTCCCGATAGGGAACGACGAGACGATGGAATCTCAGGATGCCGCCGTCCGTCATACGGGCGACGAGGAAGTAAACCGTGGAGAGAAGCGGGGAGAGGAGAAGACCGAGATACTCGACTCGGAGACGCGACTCGTGACTCGAATAACATGGAGCCGCGACGCGCGTCGCGCGCGTGAGATCCCGATGGAAACCGGAGGCGGTGCGCGCCGTACTGCAAACGTCGAACTGGCTCCAATTTCAAAAAATCGCACGAGCAGAATTGCAAAAGCTGGAACGGGGACGCTCCGCTTAAGAATTGAGTCACGACATACAGACTCCGCTGATCTTTCCTAAGTCCAATTTCGCGAATCGCCCTCCCCCGACATCATATACCGCGGGAATAAAAGAGCGCGCGAACGATGCACGAGATTTCGCGACGCTCTCGCAGAATACGGAAGCGCTGCGTTTATCACGGCTTTTTCCAAGGTCGGACGGATTGCTCCTCATAAGAGGACTATTTGTCGCGATTCGCACTGTACGCAGAAGCTCCGTGGCTCTGGTTTTCGAAGGATGTCTTTCGAAGAATCAGCAACATCTCTCAGTGATAAGTTGAATGTGATAGTCGAGCAAAGCAAGATAAACGATACTCGAGTAAGCTGAATATTATATACTTTATTTAAATGAGATTTTCAAGTATATAACTAAAGTAAGAGAATAAGGCCAGCGAGAGCCGATCGCGGATGTTAGTGCGAATAAGCTTTAAATCACGACAGAATGAATGTTTGAACGAGTAATATTGGCCGAGGCCAATATTATTTTTAGTAATTTCAAAGAAAATATAAGGAGAACAAAGGCAAATAAGAGCCAGCTATTGTTACAGCAAGATTATACACCAAGAGAATTTTAGTAAAAATGACTATAAAAGCCAGGAATAGATCGACTACTCTGCAATTGATTACTCCTTATTTTTCTTTATTAATTGATTACTCCTTATTTTTCTTTTTACTCTTTATTTATATTTTAGGAATTGAGACATGAAAATAAATAATTTGCTATGTTTCTAACAAAATTTACTGTTTCTCAGCAAAATAGATTTTACTATTAATCTATTTCTACACTACTAGAAACATATTTAAATTAAAAAGAATTTATATGAAAAAAAACTATATTCCAAACGTGAGAGAAGAAATATTCAAAAAATAAAAAATATTTTTTTCCTACACAGTACGCGCATTGTTAAAACAATTTTAAATCAATGTTATTAAATATATACACGGATATTCTGCGGATGAGCTCCGATAAAAAATTGTCACCATTACAATGGCATTCTAATACGCTTATCAGTGCGTCCCCATTGCGAAATGTCTGGAAGATATGAATGATTCCGCGTGCGGCGCGTTGTTCCGCACTTTCAGTTTCAGTTCTCGAAATCTTCGCGGTCTACATTCGCCTGCATTTGCGTAATGCCACGACGAAGATAAGAACGAGACTCGAAAGCTAACCGGCAGCAATGGGTCTGACCTGGATTTCTCACCCGCATGGGTGCTAACTCGTCCATCCGGAAATGGCTTATGGTAGTCGGTGTAGGCAGAGGGATAACGAACGGTAGATAATACGCGAAAGTGCGAGTGAACGTTCTGTCTCGCCATTTTCTCGATTCTTTTTTTCTTTCTTTTTCTATTTCACACCTCCTTCTGCACTTTTCCGACGTTTGCATTCCCGCCACGCAAATTAATCCTCACGTGCGCGTTTGAATTTTGCACGAGAATCAATCCGCGGCCATTCCCACATCAGAAGCAAACGCAATCCATCAAGACGCAATTTGTCGAGTGTCACGACAAACTGCAAAGACGTTTCGTGTAATCTACTTAGCAGCGCGATGTGCGATGCGTCGACGGCAAAGCTAATATTACCCGGACGTGAATACACTCTGATTTGACTCGGCCGAAGGATGAAATTCATATTGGCGTAACCACCGCATTCGAATGTGTGCTCATTAAATTTGTGGACGGACGAATTGTGCAACCTAATGACGTTATTTGAACAGCAGCGTGTAACATGCTTCACTAACAGTCTATTCGAGGATGAATCGATATTCCAAAATTCCTCTCTGAAATTAACGTCTCTCTCTATCTCTTTTCTTCTTCCCCTCTCTCTCCACTCATATCTTTGATTGTTCTTTTTTCAGTTGAGAGATTCGCCGGCAGAGAGAGAGGTAGCCTTCATTCATCGAATTTTCTCGCCCCGATTACTCTCCCCGCTTTTTTTTCCGACCATCCTCCGGTTGGCCTTTCATCTCCGCCACGAGTAACGTGGCGCGAAAGGTGTCTTTTATGTATGCGTGTTCGTCGATTGAAGTGTCCTAAGTAACTATACAGAACGCGCCGTATGAAAAGTTCCGTCGAAAGTGTGGCGGCGCTGCCACAAAACATCCAAGGGAAATTAACGAAAAAGAAAAGACATCCACAGGCGGTTTTCGGTCGGTCGCTTTGCTGTGACGCGTCGCTTTGCTTCTTCAACCATTTAGTCTCGACGATTCGTCTCGCGCCATCGCGAGCTCGCGCAAATTTCGTCG